GAAAGAATAGCTAGTGAAATGAATCGGCTCAAGTTCTATATGGCTCATGCACAGGTCTCCATCACGCATTTACTTATCTTTTTCTTTTACCAATTCACAATTAGGAATGCACCTCTGTTTCTTTTACTTCCCCAAGTCTAAACATAGAAACATTTTTATAAGATTGATTGTAATAAATTGTGCTTTTCAGTCCTAGCCGTTCCCAAGTGTCATAGTTATAGAGAATGGCATGGGTCTCTTATAGGATTATAATGAACCAGGTTTGAGTATAGTGTTTGAGAGTAGCATCCTGGGGATCGAAATGGCTGGGCCCAATTAGTTAGCTTTAATAAGATTGCTGACAAAATAAATTAGAAAAAAAATAGTTGCATGAGATGCTACCTGGAAAAAATATTGTGAAATCTCTGGTCTTCTGCAGAAGCTCCATTTTACCTCTTAGCCTGAGAAAATATAAAGTCTTACTGCTGATACTCACTAATTTCTCTGTTATGCCAGTACAGAACCTGCCTTTCGTTGAGAACATGGAGAAGAGGATTCAGAGCGCTAGTGTGTTATTGGATGCTAGCCTGGGTCATTGCTTCATTGACGGGCTAAACAACAGCGACACAAGCGTCCTTTACAACTGCCTGCGTGCATATGCTGCCATTGATAACACCAACAGTGCAGAAGAAATTTTTCGTACAACGATTGTGGCTCCATTTATACATAAAACTATTACACATGAAACATCAGCAGATGCAACTGGAACTTCGGATGAACTTGAAAACGATTACAAACTTATCAAGCATTTTATTGCAAAGGATTGTAAAATGCTGCTCGATATATCTTCAACCGGTAAGTTGCTCCACTCTCTGTGATCATATTTCTTGTCGATCTCCAATTGCATTTGCTATACTTACGTCTTCCTGTGGCAGTGAATTTTTCCTTTTAAACATTCTAAGAAGAATTACGCAGCTAACGTTTTGTAATAGGAGTGTTGTTCGTTATCACGGTTGGACATATCATTTTATATCTAACGCAGTGTACTCTTTGCTTGGTATCTTGTTTATAAACAGAGAAATCGGGTCTGCACGTCTTCAATTTCCTGGCAAATTCAATCCTGAAAGAAGTTCTTTCGGCAATCCAGAAAGTCAAACCAGGAGCATTTTCTCCTGGAAGGCCTACTGAGTTCTTGAAAAATTACAAGGCAAGCTTGGATTTCTTGGCATATCTTGAAGGTAGGTTATCTGATCTATATCTTTCTTTGAGATTGATCTCGTGGTTATTCAGATGCATTTTGAGCTAATCTTCATGTCTCTTATATTAACAAATAGTTTATTTAATACTAGGTGATGACAAAAAAAATATTAGGTGATGACATTATTTGAATATTTTATCAGTAGTCATACATGTACTTTTTATGAAGGTTATTGTCCATCAAGGTCCGCTGTCACCAAGTTTCGAACTGAAGCAGTATGTATCGAATTCATGAAGCAATGGAATGTGGGAGTATACTTTTCACTGAGGTATTGGAGATATATCATAGATGGCGGTTGACTTACTGTTAGATTAGTGGCTTCTCTAACTCGAAAGTACATAATTTCAGGTTTCAGGAGATAGCTGGAGCCTTGGATTCTGCTCTTACTTCTTCTTCTTTAGTTTTCATTCAGGATTCTGATTTAGATAAAGGGAGCTGTTCCAACTTAATGCTCAGACAGAGCGCTACTCTCCTGGAAAGCTTGCGTTCATGTTGGAAAGAAGATGTTCTCGTTTTCTCTGCTGCTGATAAATTTCTACGGTTGACCTTACAGCTTCTTTCGAGGTTTGTGAAATTTGATTATACAAAATATCTACGCCCATTAGTTTATTTTTGTTTTAGTTCTCATTTTAACAATGTGTTAATAACATGTAGATATTGCATTTGGGTGTCATCTGGGTTGCATACTAGAAAGGGCAATGCCAGCCCGAGTCCTGGATGTGATTGGGCAGTTTCAGCCTCTGCAGAAGATTTTGTATATGTAAGTCATTTTTTTTTATCTGGATTGCATGGTCTGTTATGTCGTGTTTATTGAATCAGTTAAAGTTGTGTGTCTGGTGATATAGACCATATGGTTGATCGTTTGATTTTATTGGAACATTTACACATCTTCTTCCTTGCAGGTTATACATGATGTAAATTATCTAGTCTCAGAAGTTTGTGGCGATTACCTTGAACATATATCACACTATATATCTTCATGCTCCAGTGAAGTTCGTGATGTGGTGAGGATGAGCATGTTACAAGGTGGAGATAAACTGAAGGAAGTCCTACCTTTACTTACCAACACAATTATCGAAATCATTGTTGATAAATCTGTTGAGGTAAAGCCCTAAGAAACATTAGGTCCATTGTATAAGTTATGCACTTCAAGATTTGTTTGAGGGTCTTAATGATCTGATCACCTGCAAGAACGGTTTTGACTAGAATTTGATTTATACCTGAATAGGTTAGTGTCATTCTCCAAGTAGCATACATGGTAAATGCTTTCATTTGTTTTATAGGACTTAAGGCAGGTCAAGGGAATAACGGCAACATATAGGCTGACTAATAAACCACCGCCGGTTAGGCACTCACCATATGTCGTTGGCATATTGCGTCATGTAAAGGTATTGATTTCCCTTTGGGATTACGATTTTAAGAACGTTCATAGTTACTTGATTGATGGATTCTCTGGTTATTTCACCTTGTCTATTAATAGGCCTTTTTGGAGGGAGAAAAGGCTACGCGGTACTTGACGCAGGAAACAAGGGAGGAGTTACTGCTTCGCATTGTCACTGAAATTACGAGGCGGTATTACGAATTAGCTGATGAAGTTGTCAGCGTGGTGAGTATTCTGCTTTTAAACACTTTTATGAGGATTATCAATTAGTATAATTCACGAGTGAGCTTTTAAGACTCAGATTTATTATTGATAAAATCAGGAGAACTCTTTGTAGATTTATCAAAGGCACATATCTATTCAATATCGTTTAGATATATCAGTAGTTTTTGTGTAGTAAAAAACTGATGGTAGTAAGTATGTTACAGGCGAGAAGAACGGAGTCATCGCTTCAGCAATTCCGTAGAAAAGCACAGAAAAGAGCAGGTGCAGCATCTGGTGTCTCTGACGACAATGTATCTGAAACAGACAAGATGTGTATGCAGTTATTCCTTGATACTCAGGTAAACCCTTCACATGATTCAATCATTTGTGTTAAAATAAGTACTATATCTCGAAATATTTTGATTTAGAAAGAAGTATAAAACAGCATCGGTTAATGTCTCTCTTATCAGGAGTATGGGCGAAACATATCTGCTTTGGGGTTAAAACCGGCAGATATACCGGTTTATTGTTCACTCTGGCAATGCGTTGCACCAGCTGATAGGCAAAACACAATCAGTGTTTGATGGACTCACACTGCATTTTCTTTCATATTGCAGTATCATATAACTTGCAATGATTATAGGAAGTTCTTTCTTTTCTTTTGTTTATTGTTTTTTGTTATATCTTTCGTCTGTGTCATGTCTCTGTTCCAGTATAATAGTTGACACTTTATAATTAATACTAGATTTTGATCCGCGCTTAAGAAGCGCGGGTATTTTTTTTTTTGGCCGTAAAGACAAATATTTCGGAATAGATACTTTAATTGGTTTTGATGGTGTTTATAAATTTGATTGAGTTGATGCTAAAAGAGATCCGAGATACCTTATATTTATAAAAGAAGAGGGTTGTTGTCAATTTGGGTTAAGAGAAGATATGAAAGAATATTTTGTAATCAGTTTAGGTTTTCCAAAATCATGATAGAAAATATAAATAGGTGCTTTTTAATTTTTTTCGTTGATATAATTAAGGTAATTTAAATAATTGGTGTAATAAATTAACTTGTAGATGAAGTAATTTAGATTTTGACATGCGCTTCTTATATTTTTATTGACCATAAAGTCAAATATATAATAAATTTATGTCTATTATTAGATATCTATAATATTTAAAATTTGTTCTATTCTTTTATTTCAGTCTTGTAAAATTAATAAAATGAATATGGTAAAAATGTTCTTAAAATGGGTACTTAATTTTTAAAATTGTTAAAAAAATTTAAACGGAATTAAATTAAAACAAATTTCATAAATAATCGATCATATCATATATCTCTAGAACCTAAAAATAGAAATCGAACCGAGAACCAAATGGTTACTTAAATTTTTTATGTCTAAATTATATACCTACAAATATTAATTATATATAATTTCTAAATACTAAATAACCTAAAATACTATTTTTAAACCAAATTAGGCAAATCAATGAATTACCTGAATATTTTTAATAAAAATATTCAACCTATCTGATATTTAAATCGTAGGCTAGTTTACATTTAAAATTAAATAAATATATATCATGTAAATTAAATAAACATATCTTATTAGTATTATTTTTTGACCAATTTCGTTTGAATCTCCAACTTATAATGTTTAGACCCATTTAATTTTTATATATCATAAAATTAATCATTTAGTTCTTGTATAAGAATGTAATATCAAAATTTAATAATTGATTGCATATAATTAATTAAACCAAACTGTCATAGTTATAGTATCACGAATATTATTGTTAGAGAAATTTTATAATAGATTATGGAAAGTAATAAATGAGTTTATTTAAATTGTAAAGTATTTATATAGTTAGAGAAATATAAGGGAAGACCAAAAATGTTAGTCTAATGAAAAGGTGCAAACAACTTTTTTAAGTAGATTTATTTAGACTCCTCTCTTTAATAGATAGAAAAGAAAATCAGTATTTGTTTCCGTAAAACTGAATTATTTGACGCGAAAGTGTATTCAAATATTACACATGGCAACGAAAGAAACAAAAATATTACATGTGTATTGTAGTGATGAAAGCATGTAATAATACTTTTTTTATTATCGCAAGCATATTATAATTGAAAAATGGAAAACATGTGAAATAAAAAGATTTTAGAAATGAAAAACGATATGACGAGTCAAAACCCTAGAGGACGTGGACTCTGTTACCACTTCACTTACAAGAGCCCCTCCCCTCCCCACCAAACCAAACACCACCGTTAAGAAGACACAGCGCAGACAATAAACCAAACTCCAGAAAGTCTTCTGACAATGGCTGAAATCTCGGTGACTTCGTTTCCTTCTTCCTCTTCTGCTCTTGCGCTTCGCAGCCCACGCAATGGTTATCTCTCTGCCCTCCAATTTCTTTTTTTTTTTTTCTGTTTACCAATCTTCTACTTTGAGTATATAGTTTTTCTGATAATCACCGTTTCTAGTGTCTGTCTTATCCGATGACTCTGAGTTTGTTGGTCTCTTATATGGTTAAATAGATTATAATCGAAATGTCAAATTGAATATTTTGTTGTGCGCAGGTACCATAAGATCTCAGAATGTAGCTTGTCAGAGAACCACTTCCCTGTTCCAAGAGGTATTTCCAATTCGAATCTAAAATTCTTACACTTAACTCTTTCTCTCTAATTACGTTGTCTGAATTTGCAGTTATCTCTGAAACGAAGCCAGCTTTCAGGCAATGCCATTGCTACAGCTCATGTTTCCGGAACACGCGTCTGCAAGAGTCAAGGTGAAGTTAGCATTACACTGAATCATCCCATTTCCTTTAATATCATTTTCTTTAATTCCTCTAATGAACATCATCTATGTTATTTTCTGTTATTACATTAACACTTTGTGGTTTTCAATATTGAACAGCTATCCGAGCTGTTCTCTCCGGTGATGGACAAACTGTCGTGTCTGCTGATTCAAAGGGTGAAGCCGGTCTTCGTGGCAAGCTGAAAAAAGTCGTTCTTGCTTACAGTGGAGGCTTAGACACCTCCGTCATCGTGCCATGGCTCAAGTATGATTTTTTTACTTTCTGACCTCTAGCAAGAATAATTTCTTTAAAACAATCAGTGTAGATAGCTTTACTGCTTCTAGCTCATGAAATTTTATACCTTTGCGCACTACTCTTACATATAAGTGTTTGTTCCGTAGGGAGAACTATGGCTGTGAAGTTGTGTGTTTCACCGCAGATGTTGGTCAGGTACTCTACATTACTCCCAACTTTTTCTTCTTTTTTTTGTAGCATTTCACTTATGTTTTCTCAAAAAAACTCTAAATGCTTTTGATATGAAGGGTATCAAAGAGTTGGAGGGTTTAGAACAAAAGGCTAAGGCTAGTGGCGCTTCTCAACTGGTGGTTAAGGATCTCACGGAGGAGTTTGTGAAAGACTACATATTCCCATGTCTTAGAGCTGGTGCCATCTATGAACGAAAATACTTGCTTGGTACCTCCATGGCTCGACCTGTCATTGCTAAGGTAAACATTTCCAGATGTTTTATATGATTTGTTTTTGAAGGAACCCAAATATTTTAACATAGTTCTAATACAACTGCTAAATGATTAGGCCATGGTAGATGTAGCCGCAGAGGTTGGAGCTGATGCCGTTGCACATGGGTGTACTGGCAAAGGAAATGACCAGGCAAGTACTTGGACTGTCGTCCTATTGCTACAGTATCTCATCGGAGAAAACACACTTGGATTCATACATTACTTTTTGTCTTTTTATTGGTGGTTGAACAGGTTAGGTTTGAGCTCACCTTCTTTTCATTGAACCCTGAACTTAAAGTTGTGGCACCATGGAGAGAATGGGAAATCCAAGGCAGAGAAGACGCTATTGAGTATGCAAAGAAGCATAACGTTCCTGTCCCCGTGACAAAGAAATCTATTTACAGCCGGGACAGAAACCTCTGGCACCTTAGTCATGAGGTACAAAACAAAAGTCAACTGTTGATAGACATTCCCTTATGTTATCCTGGTCTCTGATACCGAACATCTTTCTGTTGAAAGGGTGATATATTGGAAGATCCAGCAAACGAGCCGAAGAAAGATATGTACATGATGAGTGTAGATCCCGAAGATGCTCCTGATCAGCCTGAGTAAGTTTCTTCCTCTAAAGCTCTGTTTGATAAGTTCTTGTATGAGTCAAGAGCATTGTAATTACCCTAGATGGTCTGTAGTTGAATGTAGATTTGTGTTGCTGTAGAATGAATGCCTTGAGGGTGTTCAGGATTTGTCTAGGGTTTGGGATTGGGAAATTTACTAAGAGTAGTGAACTATCTTGTTAATCAAGTCTCTCTATGAAGTGAAGAAAGAAAGAGTTAACCAGTTTAGGTCATATCAAATGTATAACTTGTGGTATTTTGAATGATGTTGTACATTAACAGATACATAGAGATCGGGATAGAATCTGGACTCCCAGTGGCACTCAACGGGAAGGATCTCTCCCCAGCCTCCCTTCTCTCCGAACTAAACACAATAGGAGGGAAACACGGCATTGGCCGGATCGACATGGTGGAGAACCGTCTTGTCGGGATGAAATCACGAGGTGTCTATGAAACCCCAGGAGGCACCATCCTCTTCGCGGCTGTGCAGGAACTAGAATCCCTCACGTTAGACAGAGAGAGCATTCAGGTGAAAGACTCATTAGCACTGAAATACGCAGAGATGGTCTATGCAGGAAGGTGGTTTGATCCGCTTAAGGAGTCCATGGACGCTTTCATGGAGAAGTTAACTGAGAAAACTACGGGATCTGTAACACTGAAGCTGTACAAAGGATCTGTGTCGGTTACAGGGCGTAAGAGTCCGAACAGTCTGTATAGACAGGACATATCTTCGTTTGAAGGGAGTGAGATTTACAACCAAGCTGATGCAGCTGGGTTTATTCGTCTTTATGGGTTGCCTATGAGAGTTAGAGCGATGCTTGAGAAAGGCATCTAGAAAGAAGGGTTGCACCATCATGTCTAGTTGGAACTGAGTTTATTTGCGTGACATTAACAGATTACTGTGTTCAAGATTTGATGCGTTTAGCTTCAGCTTCTGTTGGAATAATTGTCTTCTTTCTTCACTTTGCTTTCGTTTATGGAGAAACTTTTTTAAATCGAATAAATTTGTGAATGATGGAACTTACTGTTAAATAATAGCTAATCACAGTTTTAACTATTTTCGTCAATCATTGGCAAGTTATTGTGTAAAGACCATAGTTTGACTAACACTCATGAAGTAACAAATAAACATGACATTGTTTTGTGTTATTTGATTACTTTAAATGTATAACAGTTTAACTTATATGTTTGAATGAGTTTATATTAGGTTTTCTTTGTAATATTGTATCCCTTATATATTAAAAGATAAGCATTGTAATAAATGCGTTCACACATTAACTGACACATATCGGCTTCACAATCATTTGGCAATTAATACGTCTATACACTAATTTTTAAATTTTATTATTTAAAGTATTTATATACTATTTTTAATTAATTGATTTTTCTTACATTTTTAGCATTTGTATTAATAAATTAAAACTTTCTACATGAAACTAATGAATAATATCTTTATTGTAAAAAAATAAAAATCATTCAGGTTCGCATCAACTAAAATGTTGCGATCAATTTTTTTTTTGAAATTGAAAGTTTCGTACCTTTCGGAAGTTAGTCATGGTTGAGGCTTGATAATAATAAATACGGTGATTGGTTATGAATTAAAGAAACTGAGGTGAAAAACACCACACGTAAAGTCGGATCTTTAGTTTAGTCAAATATTAACAATTTTATAAAGTTTTCATATCAGACCAAGAAATAGAAACAAAATCAAAGTGGTAGAAAAAAATCAGAAATAAAAAAGTTTTAAAAAGAAATAAAAATCACAAAAAACGATTAAAATATAATTCAGGTATCAAGTGAAGATGTCACTTTGTAATATATATTATTTTTATTTTTTACGGGTACAATTTGATTTTCTTCATATGAAAAATGTTATTAATTTCTAGGTTTGTTTTTATTACTTAATTTTATTTAAGAATTTACTATCATGTGTTATTTTGAACAAAAAAATTTTAAATCTTAATTAACGATATATTCATATATTTATCATCACATTTATATACTTTTACATATACATACATGTACATATTGACATGAGCGGCTATATAACTAAATATTGACCACAAGTAAGAATTTTAATTCTTATTGAAGTTGAATTTTTTAATGTTTTCTTTCATTATCACTCAAATTGTAGTGAAATGTTTTGTGTTAATAATTTTATTTTATTTTTTTCTTCAAATATTATTTTGATTTTATTTGATTTTACATGTCTTTAGAAGTTATAATAGGAAACTATTAGTTCGACATAAATATTGTCTAAAATTTATATAAACGAAACCAAACAAATAAGAATAGTGTTTGGTTATCATCGAAAAAATAAAAACATCAAACATTGAAACCAAACAAACCAAAATAAATATAAATTTAGAATTATAGTTACATTTAGGACATTAAAAAAACAACGTAAAATTGAACCAATATCTATGTTAAACAGACATAATATCATTTTTATCTTAAAAGTAACAAAAATAATAATCTCATTATGCGCAATGCGCGGATTATTACCTAGTGCATCATTATATATAATGGGATCTCTATTAGAAATGATGAACAAATTTTTATTTGGATCCATATTAACTAAATAACACATGTTAATTGATAAATATTGTTCATGGGTCGTAACAGATAATTAGTATACCCAATCGTAAGGTATTTTAAACACGGATCAGATAATGTGATATATTTTTGGGTTATTCCACTTAGTAGCATTAAATGTGTTTCTCACACAACCGACTAGATCAGCTGATATAGTTTATAAAAAAAAATATTGCTCATATTAATCATTTAGTGTATGTAAGTTGTAGTTATTTTCTCATTATTTTTAATGATTTTGGAATAAAAAGTTTTGTGAAATTGGTTATTTTGGAAATCTTTTTATATAAAGTAAAGTTACTTCTCTCCTATTATGCCACATCACTAATTCGTTCACTCTGAAGACAACACGTGTCCACGTTATCAATACTTTGCGTTTCATTTATTTATGTTTCTTATTCGTTTGGGCTTTTGTTTATATTTGGTGTATGTGTTTTGCTTTATAAAGCCCATCCTAATAAGGAGGAGTACCATATGGACTAAACGCGTCGTTTTGATTCTAAGGATTGAACCTGTTTCCTTCTAGGCCATTGCGATGTCGGACTTCATCCTAAGGTTTTGATAGAGTTGTTTCATCTTCTTCCTAACGATCTGAAATCTATCAGTTACAGATTCACAATCTACCTTCAATGCAAATTTTGCTCTTGGAATGCAGTGGGACTTTGAGTATAAAAGGGTTAGCATCCCAACTCTCCAAATCATCCTGTCAATCTATTCAAAAAACGAATCCACTTTCTGAGAAATCGCTAGCTCCCAAGTTTTATTTCTGATTTGAAGTCTGATATATGTTCTTCCAAATGGAGGGTAGGTTGCTGTCGTTTTTAGAACATTCAAACCAACAGCAACCTAGGCTGTTCGTTTTACAGCGTTGTCCCGAGTGATGAATATAAATCTCAATTTCAAAGTGAAATTTAATTAAAATCATCGTTTTTAGTATTATTCTTTTGTTTTTCCTGGAAAAAAGTTTGGTTTTCTTTCATAAGAAAAAAAATTGGAGGGGTCATCTCTGTGGATTTTATAATAAAGGGAGAAGGAGCGTCGAAGAAAAATAACAGAGGAGAGCGTCAGAGAGAGAGAAAAAAATATTAATGGAAGAGACAACGATGAGGACGAAGAAGAATAAGATGATCGTTAATAACGAAGAAGATGATTCCAAAAGGAAGGAGCGTCATTTTGTTACCTGGTCTCAACAGGTCTCTCTCTATATATAATAATAATAATAATGAATCTGTGTTTCATTGCTCTGTTTAGTCTCTGAGATGGGTTTTGTCTCTGTTTCAGGAGGATGATATTCTCAGACAGCAAATAAGCTTACATGAAACACAAAAGTTAGTCCTTTTTTCTTACAGTTTCTTGGACAAAGTTTTCTGTTTTATTGATTCTGATTGTTGTTATTGATTGGTTTCTCAGTTGGGCGATCATTGCTTCCAAGTTTACTGATAAGAGCACAAGGCAGTGTAGAAGAAGGTAGTCTGGTTTTATAGTCTGATCAAAATTAAAATGATTGCTTCTTATTCAAACCCAGAATCCAAACACACGCTTGCTTCTTATTCAAACCCAGAATCTGAAACCTAGGCTGCTTCTTACTCTTCGATTACTTTTGCCACTGTGAGGTAATTTTTTTTTTTTTTGGTAAACATGTTAGTGAGGTCATTTTGTAACTCATGATTTAATTGAGTGTGTCTGTAGCGTGTCACGAGAGTGAACAAGCAAGCGGTGGAGAGCGACCGAGCAAGCGGTGGAGAGCGACTGAGCAAGCGGTCGAGAGCGACATAGCAAGCGGCAGAGTGCGATGGAACAAGCGGCGGAACAAGCGGCGTTGAGCTGATGGAGCAGGTAACGGAGAGAGCGATATGGACATCCTTGGAACAAACGCCTGAGAGTGTGACAAGAGATAGCAAAGGCAATTTCTCCGAGATCATTTTTCATTTTCACTTTACGATAGTTATTGGAAGACAATCTTCTGCTTGACAGTGTATACAAATCAAAAGATGTGCTGTTCTTCCTATTCGTGTATTTCAGTTACAAATCGACATACACACAACAATTAAAGAAAATAGCATTAGACAAGATCTTTTGTATATATGACGTTGTTCGGAATACATGAGGTTGTTTTGTACATGCTCTATACCAAGACTGAATCATCAAAAAGAAGAAGAACAAAGGGATATCAAGAGATTAGCAATTAAGAAGTGTTTTTTTGCTTTGTTTTTTTTGGTGATTTTGTATATATGTGTTTGAGAAATCTATTTTGATAGTGAAAGTTATGTGAAATAAGTTATAGGAGACGGATCCCACCGAGTACCTTACGGTAATGTTATCAATTTTGTCTGCTTTTATCACTCATCTCAATATCGTAACACCAAAGTGGGATTGAAAATCATAACAGCCTCTTTTATATATATAAACTCCATAGATTTCAATATTAATGTTTAGGTAGACCGTTGGTGTGGCCGTATCTTTCATTTATTTTTTACCTACATGACTTAGAATCAAGATATATTCATGACTTTATTTAGATTTGTCCTGAAGTTCGCATGAACTTGAGGACACATGCATAGCTGTATATCTGTTTTTCTAGCCAGATAGTTCAGCTTTAAACCTTTNACTCCATAGATTTCAATATTAATGTTTAGGTAGACCGTTGGTGTGGCCGTATCTTTCATTTATTTTTTACCTACATGACTTAGAATCAAGATATATTCATGACTTTATTTAGATTTGTCCTGAAGTTCGCATGAACTTGAGGACACATGCATAGCTGTATATCTGTTTTTCTAGCCAGATAGTTCAGCTTTAAACCTTTCTGGAACTTGGTCACCAAAATTGTTGTCTTCGTTTTTAATGATTTAGCTACTACACCAATGTCGCTCTTTCATATACATTAACGTAAGAACATTATTAATTTCTAATTGATTTAGCACTACAGAACACACGATGTATTATATTGAGATTTGAGGATATGAGTTTACACACAAAACACTAAGAGAGATTGAGAGAAAGTTTGGGAACACACCGAGAAGCCGTAAAACGAAAAAGAGAAACAATATTAGATGGAGTAAGCTCTTATACCGACAATAAATTAATTCTTTGTATACCAAGTGCTGCTTTTATATTTTTCTTTAATTTTTGCGAAAGAGCATCTGCTTCTATGCGACTATGTTTCATAGTTTCTTACAAATATAGGAAAAAAATGATTATTCCTTTAGCTTCCTGTAAACCAAACTTTCCACCATGAAAAAAAATTAATTATAAATAATTACAATAATGATTAAAATACACATTATTTCTAGGGCAATTCTCTCAAATAATATTTTTTAAAAATTTTGTCACAAAAAAACATTCAAAGATGAAAATGACCAAAAGAGAATTCATTAAAGAGGCAAACGATTTTTGTGCCCCTTAATTTATAAATATATGAATAATAAATAAATAAATATAAAAATAAAATAAACAATAATTTATAAAAATTAATATTTTTGGACTATATGTTTTCAGATTCGTACTTTTTTATAGAAAAACTTTTTTTTTAGTATTCTTTTTGAAATTTAAAAATATTTTTTGAAACTATTTTTAAAAATTTAATATTTCTATTTTATTGTGAATATTTTAAATCTAAAACTCCACCCATTAACACTAAACAAAATGGTGTAAAATTAGGTAATCATAAGAATATAAAAGTATATTTGTTCTTCAATAAAATATTTTTTGATTATTTTCTATCTTATTTTTTTGTGTAAATATACTAAAAAGACCATCCTAGAAAATTTCTCTTATTGGATTGTTCAAAAAAAAAGAGAACTTCTCTTATTTCTAATTCAGTTTTTTCTTCTATATTGAGAAAATGTCAACAACAGTATACTATTGTGATTTTTTTCTATTAACCATATAAATACAACACTATAAGAATAAAATAAATAAAATGTGCATTGTGAGACCAAATATTTAACAAAACCTGTTTTACAAACTACATCAACATAAATTCAAATCTCAGCTTATAAAATAAATTTCCCTCATGAAAATTTGCTACTCTCTAAGAACGTCAAAACCATCAACACTATTATATATTCCTCTTGCAAATCATAAAATACAACACATGCAAATGAAAATAAATAATTATATAGTATAATAGATCATACATTAATAGATCATGCGCGTAGCGCAGACCGGCCCTAGTTTTCAAGTAAAGCAAAGATAAGTGTTTAAAAGTTGATAGGAAACCCAACTCATCGGCCTTTTTAATTTAATAACCGGTTTAGCTCTTCCTCCTTACTCAAGAAACCAAATATTCATTCCTTCCTTTCCTCTCTCTCTCTCCCACAGATCCGTCTCTAAGGTTTTCCCTGAATCTCGAGTGTGTAGAAGCAAGCAACCATGGACAGTGGAGCCGAAGGAACTCAGCAGCCTCACCTTATCTTAGCCCACAAGCTATTCCTCCTCACTCATCCCGATGTTCAAGACATCGAGAAAGTCCAGCTCAAGTCTGACGTCTTGGATTCCATCAAATCCGATGGTAAAGCATCTTCCTTTCTCTAATCAATCCCCATGGGTTTCGAAAAGCTTCGATTTTTTTTTATTGGGTTTTCTGTTTCTGATGTTGGGTTGGTGTTATTTTTTGGGTTAGGGATGGCTCCATTGTACGAAACCCTAGCGGCGACTTCGGTTCTGGAGTTGGATCAGAGCTTGTTGGATTCTATGCGGGCTAACAATGAAGAAGAGCTTAAAAAGCTCGACGACAAGTAAAGTTTCCTTCTTCCTGTTTGCTTCTATATATATAGTTTCTGCTTGTTTCCCTATAGAAGCTTATGCATTTAGATTCATGTACACACAGTTTCTGACTATTAGAGGCTAATGCAAATGTTACAAATGTAATCTGCAGTGTGTTGGTTTAGATTCCTTGTTTTAGTGTCTGTTGGTTTAGACTGATGGAGAGTTTAGGTGTATCATTATGATTAATTTGGGCTTGAAATGGATGTCACAGAGTTGTGATAAGTTGTAGAAAACGAGGCAGAGTGAATGGAGTTAGGTCTTGAATTCAATTGGATGTTGCTGTGTAGCTGATGTTATATGATTTTTTGAGTTTAAGATTGGATGGAGCTTCTCCATCATAGCATGATGTCTTAGATTTTGAGGGACTGAGTTTAAGATTGGGTGGAGCTTTTCCAGCAAAGACATTATCTAATGTTCTTGTGCTTTTCTCTAAGGCTAATATTATACAAAATAATTTATGTGTAAAACCTTTTGTGCCTTTGTTATGGTGTTGAGAATCTCTTATGGATATGGTGTTTTGATGTTCTCTTACTTATTCCTTTTTTCTCTCCTTTGTTTAGGATTGCAGATGCAGAAGAAAATTTGGGAGAAAGTGAAGTCCGTGAAGCTCATCTTGCTAAGGCTCTGTATTTCATCAGGATTAGTGATAAGGTATGCAAGCATATCAATATTAGTCATTATGCACTTTAGAGGCAACTAAAAGTTTTGGTTTGTGAATTTTTAGGAGAAAGCTTTAGAGCAACTGAAACTCACTGAAGGAAAAACCGTTGCTGTTGGGCAAAAAATGGATTTGGTGTTCTATACTCTCCAGCTTGCCTTTTTCTACATGGACTTTGATCTAGTTTCCAAGAGCATTGACAAAGCTAAAAAGTAAGTATTGGTAAGGCTCTTTAGCTGCATTACCTTTCATGGATCTAAAACTCTAATGTTCTCCCATACCAGGTTGTTTGAAGAGGGTGGTGACTGGGAGAGGAAGAACAGGCTAAAGGTCTATGAAGGCTTGTATTGCATGTCCACCAGAAATTTTAAGAAGGCTGCTAGCTTATTTCTGGATTCTATTTCAACCTTCACGACTTATGAGATCTTTCCCTACGAGACCTTCATTTTCTACACCGTCCTGACGAGCATCATAACTCTCGACAGAGTTTCACTAAAGCAAAAGGTATTTCTCCATGGCTGAGTCCTCGAATTTGTTGAAGTGATGTGAATCTTTTTTTTTTTTTTCTGTTGAAGCTCCTCTGTTGAGAGAATAATTGATTGCTACTAATTTGACAGGTTGTTGATGCACCTGAAATCTTAACGGTGCTTGGGAAGATTCCATTCCTTTCTGAGTTCTTGAACTCCCTGTACGAGTGCCAGTACAAGGCATTTTTCTCAGCATTTGGTGAGTACAATACAATGACCAGATTAACCTACAGAACTTTCTTATCTGTGTTTTGTCTCTGTGTGCTAATGATAATAGCTTCATTGTGGATGTGTTTTTTTTTTCACAGCGGGAATGGCAGAGCAGATAAAGTTTGACCGTTACTTGTACCCACATTTCCGGTTCTACATGAGGGAAGTGAGAACGGTTGTGTACTCTCAGTTTTTGGAATCTTACAAGAGCGTCACGGTTGATGCAATGGCAAAGGCCTTTGGTGTTTCGGTGGATTTCATTGATCAGTAAGCACATTCTTTAGAACCGACTAAATAGCACAATCAATACGAAGTTAGAATCTAACTATCTAATGTTTATTTAGGGAGCTGTCACGGTTCATAGCAGCTGGGAAGCTACACTGCAAGATAGACAAGGTAGCAGGTGTATTGGAGACAAACCGCCCAGATGCAAAGAATGCACTTTACCAGGCAACGATCAAGCAAGGGGATTTCTTGCTAAACAGGATCCAGAAGCTGTCTCGAGTCATCGATCTGTGAGCCATGTCTCATGTTTCTGTTTCTGTCTTTTTACCCTTTAGAATTGAAACTCAGACGGTAGAATCCTCCTAAGGTCTAAGAAAACAGTATTCGAGATCAATACACCCTCGGTTCTCTTGTCTCTTTTGACTAGTTGATTTATTTATCAGTTGAATTCCTCAGGAACAAAGAGCAAGGGTTTTCTTGGCACCAAGTATATTAGTTCCAATAGTGAGAATCAACAATTGCAATAGTAAGATAGCACCTGTGTGTGTGAACAAAACAACCCTAACGTTACTTGTTCCCCAAAAAAAAATGTCGACACATTCTCAAGAGAGAAAGAAACTTGTACATTCTATCACATTGTTACAAACGAAGACAAGACTCCACCATTCTTCTTTGCATGCACCACAGTCATTGAACTTCTCTGCGTTTGGGATGTCCTAAGCAAGATCTTCAAGACCGTCTTTGATTCTAGTGAAAGTGTGAAACCTTTAATCAGGCCTGGTTCTGGCCCAGTGTTGGAGGTGCATTTGCACTGGATCCATTGCATATTTTGATCTTTTCTACCTTACATAAAGGGTCCAATTTTTTTTGAAAAATATATTGTATGAGAAATAGATCTTTAAATGGTTTTAGCCTAGGGCTCAAATTATGTTTGAGACGGGTCTGCCTTTAATCATCTGGTTTATCATTATAAATCCTTCACCAAAACTCTCCTAAAGAAGATCTACCACCATCTTGTCTTTCTTCTTCTTCATAGCCATGATAAGCGCCTTCTTCACCACCTCGTGGTTGAAGAAAGGCATGCCTAGCTCATGAATGCATTTGCATACTTCTTATACCATCCTTGAGCTTCGGTTCTTCGGTACTCCTCTAGAAGGTTCACTATCTTGTCCTTTGCGTGATTGCGTCTTTCACTGCCCAACCATTTCCACCACCCATCAACGTAGAAGCCTATCTCCTGCATGTCGTGCAAAGATGAGTGACTTAGCCATCTTCACCAATTCAGTTCTGCTTGAGTTTGGTTGTAGTTTGCTACAGATCTATCCGAGGTTAAAAGGTGCTAAAACTCTCACCTCTCCTATTATCTTTGATCTAATCACTAGATAATTCTTTTTTTTTACTGAACTTTATCTCTAAGATAATTCTTTGTATTGTTTAGGTAGTTTTTAAATAGTGAAGCCTTCCTTGGCATGCTCTTCTTGTGATCTTGTTAATCCCACTTACCCATAACCACGTCACTAATCCATCCCCTCCACGTCATTAATCCAATCCATACGTAACAGAGAGCTGATCATCATAACTGGAAGTCTGGAAGTAACTAAATTCACTAGATTGCACAAATATTATGTTATAGTGTAGACAAAAAGAAATTGTTACCAGAAATAATTCTTACACCATGGTGAGAATACTGCAAATGATCATAAGAAATCGAATGATATAATAAAAATAGTTAAGCTTCTAAAAAATAAAGAGAATGTTTTTCTTTTTGAAAATAAAAGAGAATACTTAAGAAGATATTAAAGAGAGTATGAATATTTGATATATTTCAACAGAATATAGTAGGAGGAGTGAAGATATTAATGTAACTGAACCACATAGAATCAACCATCCATTTATATGTATGAGTATCATACATGTTTGTGACTTGTGAGAGATTTAATACAAGATATAATTTTAATTTTAACGTGAGTTTGTATATATGTAGTTAGTGACTAAGTCAACAAAATCTTCAAAATGCACTGCTCAATGTTTATGACGAAAGTACGAGCCTTGTGAATGCTTCCATGACTATATATATGAGACTGTCCCAAAACTTTGAAAATCTGGACGTTGTTGGAAAAAGAAAAATTTGGTTGCGGATTTATGAATTCAAAACTTTCAAAACTTATTGAAAGCACCAAGCTTTAGGATCTCAAGTGAAACTTTTCTACGGACACATGCTTTATCTGAAGTAAATCTTTTCTAAGGGTCTCTTCTCTACTTTGCTATCTCTAACTTTCATTAGTTTTAATAATTTTTGTTTATCATCTAGCCATAGACTAATATCTCCAATTGTAATTGACTAAGCCTATTAGACCTTTAATCTAATGAAAATTTGGTGTTCAAAAAAAAAAACTTATCGAAAGTTATAGACTTATAGTATGATGTAAGTATAACTGTTTGTTATAGTTTTAGGGCCGCAAAATCATGTCCAACATTGGTAACTAACATGTAAAAAATGTAAAGCAATGTGGTCATAACACATATGTACTAAGATTGCTGAAATTGTTATTAGGAGAGTTGATCATTATAATTAGAGGTAATTAAATTTAATAGACCATAATAAGATGGGTTATAGTGTAGACAAACAATTTTTCATTTTAATAGACCACAATTTCTCACCAGGTATGTTGTTATTGTTCATGTTCATCTTTATTTGATCATTTTAAGAATAATTTTTAGTTTTATATTTTTGCTTATTTTTTGCTTCTTTTTGTTTTTTTTTTATTTTCTTTATTTTCTTTATTTTATATTTTCGCTCATTTTCAAAAGTTTAAATTAGTGAAACCGATGTTATATACACGTGTGTATCTATATTATTAAAACTGAAATACAAAAATGAACAAACCATTGACCTAGCCATTTAATTACTACTAATGCCACCGAGTAACTATTTAATCCTAAATTTTAGCATGTATTGTATTATCAATATTTAAAAAAAAACCATAAACATAACTTAAATTGATTTTGAAACTAATTAATAGTAAAAAAATTATGGTGAACAAAATTATTCTTACTTTTATCAATGAACCATGTGTTTTTGAAACACATATTAACCAATAAGAATAAGAGAAATTAAAATTTACTGCAAAATATCAAAGTTTATGTGTTATGTGTTTCTATAACAGTTTTATAAGTCTCATTTATTATTATAATGATTGCAAGTGATGCATATTGTAAGTTTTCAAAAAAAAAATCAACTTTTTGTGTGCCTAAATGTATAAGATTATATATACTATAAATCACCAGTTAACAAACTAATCCTTTTTTCGCAACTCAAAATATATATGTGTATATAATATTCTTATAATATTAACAAAACAATGCACCACACATAGGGCTGTTCAATATGGTGATACCGAACCGTACCGAACCGAACCAAACCGAAATAGACAATATGGTTTGGATTTGGTATATACCTTATAAACTGAATGGATATGATTTTATAAAAACCGTAGGATTTGGATATGGTTAGGTTTATAACCGATTAAACTGAATAAACCGAACAAAACCGATCAAAGAAAAAATATATAAATATATACATTATATAACCATTTATTTTCTTGGAATAGTCTTTTTAATTTTATTTTTTATACCTTGTGAAGATATATCTTAATAATTTTATTTTATTTTCTTCAACTATTATCTAAATTTGATTTGATTTTACATGTTGTAAGAAACTGTGAAATTATATTGTACCATATAATATATTTGGAAGAACAAAGAGAAAATAAGAAAAGCTATACAAAACTGAATCGTTGATCGTTTTGTTTGTTGTTAATTTCACATTTTTATATTTATGAACACCTAAGATTATTTTAATAAACGATAGTTTTGAAAATATGTTTTTTAAAAAAAAATTATATAATATGAAACCAAATCAAATAATAATGTTATTTGGTATAAAACCGAATAAACCGAAAACCGGTAGTATAAATACCGAACCAAACCAAATTAAATATGGTTCCAATATGGTAGCTAATTTTTATAAATCGAATAACCGAAAACCAAAAAAAAATCGAATCGAAACCGGACCGAACACCAGATTGAACAGGCCTAACCACACATAATATCAAACATATATGATGTATTTATTAGGAACTCAATCATAGTGATTAAAATCTAACTTACTCCTTTTTATGATGAAAACTACTTTCTAAAATCTAGCGTACTATAAAAGGTAGTTTTTTTTGGGTATTAATTACTTTCTAGGTTTCTCTCTCTTCTATAGTTAGAGACTTTCTCTCTCGAACATCTCTCTTACCAAACATTTATCTTTCAGAGGGATTCAAGATTTATGTTATAATAAATTTCGATTCTTGGATGATATTTTGCTCCAGTTAGCGGATGTTAGTTTTCGCATAGGCGATTTTGTTATGTTTTTTCAAGCCAACTTTGAAACCGCTCTTCATTCTTTCTGATTTCAGTTTTCATTTTCGCTTGAATATTAATAAATCTCAATATTGCTCCTTTCTTCTACTTCACTTCAAATTCCTATTGATATCTGACGAATCTTTGCCTTTAATTGGTTATCCTTGATCCTCGCTTGTATGGGAATCAATCTTTGCCGTTTGTATTGTAGGACCACAAAAATCCTAATTGAAAATCACAAAACAAAAATCGATATAACGATAAGAATTACGGAAAAAATGTTTAAGAAATTGTTAAGGAAATAGACGTATTTGCGAAGTCGAGATTTGATCTCTTTCCTTGACTCAATAAATCGCCCGTAATGTGAGACGGTTTCTATGCGATTTTTGAAACCCATAATACAACCACAATGAGACTGTTTTGCTGCACTCGGAACAGAATCTGCGAACTATAAATACTGATACTCTCGAGATTCACCTAAAGAGATGACTAGGGTTTTTGTTGGAACTACTTTCTAAATGCTTTGAAGAGTGTCTAATAATGAAGAGACTTGTTGTCTATTTATATGGGTATGAGTTATTTGATCACCAAGAAAGAATCTTCTGAATGTAATTTCACTTTTTTTTTGTCGAGAATCCAAACATTGTAAGTAGTTCTTCCCACTGCGAGTTGAATCTAAATGGCGTAAGTTACAGCCGCAACCATTTTATAACTAGGCCAACTCGACGTTGACAAAACAATTATTTTATCTGGTAAAGAGTATCAAAATGGCTAGTAAGAACTGAATGTAGCATGAGTAAGGATGATATATGCCCAATGAGATAAAAATAGGAGGTCCATTGAGAGCTTAATTAGAATTTAAAAATCAATTTTACTACAAATTTGATACTATTTTCTAAATTATCTTTACAAGATAATTATTTCATAAATATTTATAAATGTTTAAATCAAAGAACTTTTAAAAAAAAATTACATGATAAGATCTAAATATAATATCATAAATTATAATCATTAAACTCTAAACTCAAATGTTAGTATTTTTGTTTAAGTGTATTTTTAAAAATGGTAACCAACTTATGGTATTTCAAGCATTTTTTGCAAATATGAAGAAATTATATTTTTAAGAAAATATATTTTATAACTATTATATGTATATAGATAGTTAGTAAATATACTGATGTAAATAAAATCCCCATTTGATGGATAACATACGCATACTACATTAATATATTTAGTTTCAAATTATTATGTATATACTATTATAAATTATAATTTATGTATTAATTTAATTAAAAATTTATATATTATACATAACAACAATCTACCAATCATTCTTTAACTTATTTTCTTTTCACTAATCCAAACTAACTGAAAAAATGAATCTCACAAAATTTTAGTCACGAAACTCAAGTTCAGAAAAATTAACAAGAAGGAAATCATGAAATGGATCATAGCCAAATAATAATACTTTATATATTTTTATAAAATCATTTTGGAGAACAAACTTCAACCCATAGTGCAATAAAAATCTAGTAAAATATATAATAAAATTAAATTTGATGAAATTATTAGTTAAGAAATAATAATTTAGTTAAAATAGATAATATAACCCAGTAGTACATAATTTTAAGAATAAACTAGATTTTTGACCCGCGCTTAAAAAGTGCGGGTACTATTTTTTTTGTTTTATCTATAGATGAATCGATAAATCTTTTGCTTTGATGATATAAAATGTCACAGAATCTAGATCAAGTTATCATGTGGGTATAAAGAAATTTTAATTCTATAATGTCTCAGAAAAATTTTGTATGTTTCTAAATATATTAACAATGGTTGTACCTCAAATTTGTACTTGAAAAATATTGTATATTTAACTATTAAATGACCCATTTTTTTTAGCTTTGTGATTAATTCATAAAATCATTTAGTTACAAAATTTCACTATCTAATATAACTTTTTAAAATTAATGCAGATTTTAATTTATTATTATCATTAATATCTATGTCAATGTATTGTATATAATTGTGTAGTTTTATTTGGAAAAAATAATATTAATGAACTCAGCCTGATGTTGGAAAGCGGGTCAAACTCGCTTCGTCAGATCCGCTCTGCAGCGGATTGAGTCATTTTTACGACTCAAAAATGTGACATGTATGATCTGTAAATAAAATATATTTTTGTAATAAATATTTTATAAAATTTGAAAGAGAATCGGCCCATTAATGAAATTCATTATTATAGAGTTTTAGGCACAAATAAAAATGACAAAATTGCCATTAATGATAAATTAAATTTGTATATAAGAATAAGAGTATAATTGGAAAACATAAAAAAATATTAAACAGAATGTTTGTATTTTAATGGTATTGATTGAACATTTTCATAAGAATTAAAATTTTAAAAATCTATTAAGAAACTATTTTTTAGGTTTTACCAAGTAACGAAGATATTCACTTGAACCGAGTTCAATGAGGTTAGATGCAGCCACATCAACATCATCAGTGCTGAAATGTTCTTCAATGACTTGGAGCACATCTTTTGTAGCACAGCTATGTTGTAGTCATCTAGTGGGTCTGAAACAGTAGCACCAACAAGCTGGAATTGTTCCTAAGAAATAGTGAAAGTAATAATGAAATATATACTCCAAAATTTAAGTTTAGAGAAAGTTTTGTTAAACTCATAATGTGAATATTGTCGACTCTTATGGTTTTACTAGTTGACTATATCAGCATTTGAGCTCAGGGAATAAACGGGTTCAAATTAGACGGTAAAATGATTCATGTCCTTTAATAATTGATTTAGTATATGCTAATCTAATATATGGTCTTGAAACACATCATGCAAGGTCTTCATGGAGTTTTGCTAATAAACCTAATGGTTCCACACAATGGGAGTGTCATCATCATCTAGCTCACTTAACCAGCTGCAGTGCTGCAGGGAAGAACTCTGCCAATAAGCCTTGAGCTCTTGTTGTTCTGTGTCTCTCCCTGACCCTACAAGACAAATCGATGCACCATTAAACTTTCCGGTTCTAGTTCAGACCAACTCCTCAAAAAACATAGAAAAAAATGAACCAAACTATATATGTTTACCTTGCCTAGAGGGGTCCTCCTCCAGCACAAGACATCAGTGTCATCTTCTGGCCTGCATAAAGACAAAGGCAGATCATCCTTCATTAGCTATTCAAGTCACAAGACAACTAAAAATTGAAATAAATCTATATTACCATCTTTTACCTTTTGTCACCCTGAGGCATATGTGGAGTACACATAACAGAATATGCATCACCTTGATCACTTGCACTGCTCATCCGCGACGACGCATTTGCTGAAGAACGAACACTTCGAGCTCTCAAGACATTGCCTTGGCGACTTCTCAGAGAATTTGTAACTTCAGGTGAGTGATCAGAGTCGTTTATAGTAGTCAGATAAGACCTGTGGAGCATTCTACGAGAGCAGCTGAAAAGACCAGAGAAAAGATTTGCTGCTGCTGCTTTAGCACTCTTTGGTGGAGAACACTCAGAGATCACAAGGTTCATCCGAATCTCAACATTGCATCCTAACACGGATTGGAATGAGTCTGCAATCATTTTCCATGATTTCTCGGCTCTTGTTACATGTTGTGGTGTGTAGAATTCTAGTTCTGCTATTGCCACACTTGAACCTGAAAACATATGGATTTACTAATCAGTCTTTCAAGATACAATACCAAACTTAAATTTTAGAGTCTCTTTGGAAAAATATAAGTTACCTTTGTCAATAGTAAGTGAGGTTAACCTCCCTCGTTTCCACAAGAATCTCTTTAGTGAATCCGAACCACACAACTCTGTGACTGTTTTCCAAACAGTTTCAACTGTTTCATTACAGTTTACATCTTGACACTCCTCTGTTTGTTTAACCACATCACCAGGACACTCTGATGATGTGCTGGAGAGGTCACCATCTAGATACATGACCAAAGTCAGTTATGTAGTTAAGCAACCAAGAGAACAAGGGAAAGAAAATCAAAGACCTTTGCTTCTTTGGCTTCTTAAACACATTCCACTCTCATTTGCTGCGTAAGAAGATGAGTCAGTGTTGCTAAGTTGCAGCAGTGCAACAGTGAGCCAGGTTGTCTGGTTTTTAGATGCTCTCAAATGTTTCTCAGCATCAGATAGTATCTTCAATGCATTACTCAACTTCTGCATTTCTTCTTCAGCTAAATAATACAACATATAATAAAGTGTTAGTCCATGTTTAACTTGAAGCTGTTACTTGAAGTTAACCATATAAGTTCTTACATGTATGTCTTGTAAGAAACCGAAGTCTGGTTGCTGAACTATTCTCTTGAGACTTTCCAGCAATGATGTCCATAATGACATTAGCTAGCTGTGAAATAAGCTGCATTGGATCTATTTTGGATCTCATAAGCTCCCTCGCCCTTATCACCGTGTTTGAAGTATCAGAAGACAGTGCAAGATCAAGCAGATCAAGCAACTCATCATCAGAAACAACCCCAATCTACAAATTAAAAGATCTTTATTCACAAGACAATGTTGATTAATAATATGACAAAAGATGTGTTTAAACTTACAAGCTTGTAGGCCAAAGATGTGGTTATTCTTTTACCAAGCAAACTTAGCTGATCAAGCATTATCTCAGCATCCCTAAGCGAACCATCAGACTTAGAAGCAATGAAATCAACCGCACCCTGATCAAAATCAATACCTTCTTCCATACAAATCTTCCCCAGCTTAATAGATATATCCTCATCACACACTTTAGAGAAATGATACTTTTGAGACCGTGAGAGGACGTTACGTGGCAGCTTCTCTAACTCTGATGTAACCAAAATAAAAACCGAATGCTGAGAAAAACTATCCAAACTGTTCAAGAGACTACCCCAAGTCTCTTGACTTAGTAACTGACACTCATCGATGATGAAAACCTTGAATCTAGATGAAACCGGAGGAAGAGAAGCGCTTTTGATGAAAGACCTTAGGTAGCTAGGTCTATTTAGTTTAGCTGAATCCATCTCCTTCACGTCCATGCTTCTTCTTCCCAAACTGCATTCACTACACGAGCCACATGGTCTACTATGTGCTGCATGTGAGAGGCAGTTTAAAGCGGTAGCGAAGATCTTAGAGGTTGAAGTTTTACCAGTCCCACGAGGACCATGGAAGAGGTAAACAGAAGTGATCCTTCCTCTCAAAATGGTGCTCAAGAGACATTTCACTACAACTTCTTGTCCAACTAACTCATCAAAAGACTTTGGTCTGAACTTCTGACTTAGACTTCTTGATACAGTTTCGTTGTGACTCCGAGGAGTCACAGCGTTACTCTCACCATTGCTAGAGAGTAGAGGATACTCTTCTACATCAGAGGATTGGTTTGATCCTCTGTACCTTGGTGTTCTTGACCAGCAAGAGGCTATTCCACAGCCACGGTTAAAATCAACGTCTTCTTCATCTCCATAACTATGGTTTGTTGAGGTCATTGGACTACCTACATGGCTACCATATTCACCAACCGAGCTAGCTAGCTTTGTGGAGTAGTGTGTTGGAACATTACATGCCAACTCCCTACCTTTACCACCACAAGATCTTTCACTAGAAGGCGATGCGTCTCCTTCAACATTAAGCACCCTTTTGCTTAACTTGTGAAGATCACAACCGTTCTCTAGCTCCTCCATTATAGAGTATGATTCATAAGGAACCAAACCCTGATCAGCCTTGCAAGCATCATCGTTCACAAACTGAAGTGAGATCCCATTGTTGGATTCAGTTTCCCATTTGACGTTTTCTAGCAAAGAAGCAAACTTGGACATTGAGTTGGTACATGGATCTCTTAGTGACCGAACTCTTCTAAGAGCTACAAGAGTTCTTGTGATGGGAACATCTAGAGAATGCCTCCTTACTTCCCCCATTTTCCAAAGCAGACACCAAAACTCAGACACAAAAACTCTCTAACTCTCTTCTGAACTTCAAGATTAGAAACCTATCATCTCTTGTCTGAAAATGAATGTACAATTAGTGGGTTTCTACAACATTTAAGCGTGAAAGAAGCAGAGATCGAGCAAAACCATAGGTCAAACCAAAACAAACATTTTAGTGAGTTAAAAAATCAATGTAGAAGCTAGCTAAACGATGAAAATGTAGCAACACAAAAACAGATGGGGAAAAATATTAAATATAAACAGTCACAAAGCTCAAAAAACAGAGACCCAGATAAGCTATATAATGATTTAAATATGTCTATAGATAATGAAACGACAAACCAAAAACTCCAAATGTCAAGATTTGTAAATACCAATGTGTTATTGAACGGAGTGGAGTACAATGTGGAGGATCCAAAACCCTAAAACCCTCTTGGAGGATGGTGAAGAAGAGGAAGTTGGTGGCAGAATAGTAAATAAGAGTTATGGTGAGAGAGAGGTGAAAATAAATAAATAAAAAGAGAGGTGTGTGGATAGAGATAGAGAGAAGGGAGAGACATATGTTTAGGGGTAGGAGGGGAGTGATATTTAGCAGAGAAAGGTGTTGTGGCGTCTTGGGACAGAGAGCCAACCAGTGAGAAGTAGAGAGAGGGAAAAGAAAAAAAAATAAAGTTTTTTGCTTCATTTAAGATTCGTTCGGCGGTTTCAGTTTATATAAGTGTCTTTTGGCTTTCGTGACGAAACCAACAGAACACAACTCTAACTTACTTCGTGTGGTCCGCTCCCTCTGTCATGTTTTTTTGACTCTACGCACCTCTAGTCACGTGCTACTACTACCAATTAATTCAGAATCCAATAATTTATTTTATTATTTACTGAATTCATCAATCACCTGTTGTACCATGCACAAGACTATAATATCCTCTTCTTCTTTTTTGAAGAAACTTATAATATCCTATTTTTAATGTTTTGCTTTTTAAGAGCTTTTACTTTCAAGATTGTTACAGCAATCATATATAGGCCAAGTAAAATATTACCATTGAGAAGCATGTGTTAACACTAATTCACTAAGTATGGAGTTCTTACGGAATCGTTGGTTCTATGATTCTATTATCTATCTTGATTTATGTTTTGAATGCAAGATAGTTAATGCTATTCCAGATACTTTGCAAATTTTGTAGGCAAAAAAAAAAATCAAACTTCCAGAATTCATGGCATATTCTTTAAATTTAAAATTTCTAAAACTTGTTCCAAATATCATAATAGTACTCATTCTGTTCCGCTTTGAAAGATGTTTAAAAAATTTCACACATATTAAAAATGATTAGTGCTTAGTAATAAATATTTTGATTTATGTATTGAAAAAATAACTTTCATAACTGTAAACTAATAGTTTTAATTTGTTTAAAAAAAAACCAATAGTTTTAATCAAAACTTTTTGAATTTGTTAATTTATTCTTTCTAATTTATTTAAATATGCAAATAAAACTTAAAAAAAAAAAATCTAACATTGTGAAACAAACAAAAAATCTCAAAACATTAATCTTTGTGGAACAGAGTATTGTTTTATACCATACATATTTTCATTCTTTCTATGTATTTATATTTATGTGACATACAAAAAGGACACGGATAACGTTTATAACTCGAGGGTAAGAACATCCGGCTAACTCAATCAAATGTATATGTACCTATTGGCTAATACTAAACCAATTATAAACCTTCTATTTAGTAGTATAAAAGAATGTCTTGGAACATAACAACTTTTTCCTCTTAATTTGTTTGTTCAGCTCAACTAACATACTTATTCTGAATCCATACGGATTGACAGACAACTACAGAATTTGTTGTTTCTTAACTCTCTTGTATACTTCTTTTTTCTGTCAACTTGTGTAGTCATCTATATTGCTTATCACTAATATGGAAGGTATCGTCCTCCAACTACACCAAGAATTTGGTATGCATTGAATGCATGAACTTTGTGTCGGTTGCTTCATGGATTCAAACAATAAAATTGTCTCTAAATGCATAATAAAAACGTCCTACGTCCACTTTCTAACTTATGGCTTCTTTGTAGCAAAGCAGCCTTAAAGAGTCAAAGTCATAAGTTATACCAAGCTTTGGCATGTAAGTAAACGTAATGGAAAAAAAAAAATTGGTTCCTCTCGATCGTACTGTCGTGTATGTGAATAATAATCTAAACGCAAAGAGAAAATCGGTCGTCTAGCCCATAGGCGACTCTTATCCACTCTAATTTATGCTAAATCAGTGTAAAAAATCAACTGTCCAAATTTAGTTCGTCTAGATCATCTAGATGACTGTCTAGTAACCTAATCTATTTTTTAAATAATATTTTATTTATTTATTTGATCTAAAATTTGATAAATATAACTTATGTTCACAATTTTGATAAAAATTATACCATATTAAATTTATATATTCTATTTATGTATTTTATATGGTTATAAACATGAAAATGTATTAATATTATACACATTTAAAAATTAACATACTTTATAACATGTCAAATCATCTAAAATTTTCACTCTGCATAATCTCTGATTTTCTCTCTAAGGGTTAGGTACAATCCTACCATCCAACTACTTCTTAGCGCATTCTCGAAGAGGGTTTATCATTAACTAAAATCTAAAACAAAGAACAAACTCCTTCCACATAGCACATCAATTATATTTAATTCACTTGTTTAGAACACATGCATTTTTTAAAAAACGAATATATCATTTATGGAAGCTACTATTGAGTTGAGACAAACACTTTTTTCCTTGAAATTGATTTTATCCTTCATTGCAAAAGGGAGATGATATGCTTCCATTTTGGAGCGAAGATGTTGCAGCTTTTTAATAGTACATTGACTCATTGAATGGTATCCAATACTAAAATCTTAATAACACCTTTCAAGAAGATTTAAATGTACAAAACAATATATGTGGGGGATCTATATACTATTATTTGAAAAGTAAATTTACTGATTTGTGAACTTTTCCTAGAGTTTAGATAATTTTTTATTTTTTATATTTTTAATAATTATATATAATTTATTATACAATAAAACGAATTTATATTAATAATATTATATTTTTAGAAAATAAGATAACTCTTATTTATTATATTATTATCTTTATAATATATTTTTATATTATAAAATTTTTAATTGAGAAGTAAATTTGTTGATAGTCAGCTTCTCCATAATTAAAGATAATTTTCTTATTTTTCCTATTTTGATAATTATATATATATATATAATTTATTGTATAATAATTTGAACTTATATTAATGATATTCTATTTTTATAAAATAAGATAACTCTTATTTATTATATTGTTATCTTGAAAATATATTTTTATTATGAATTTTTAAATTTAATTAAATATAAATAAAAAAATATTTATATAAATATATTTTCTAAACTATTTTTAATAGGTGAGTGTTGTCATTTATAATTGATCTGATTTCTGATTTAAATTTTTCAAAATATAAGTAATAACTTAATATGCTGGCTTTTGAATTAACAAAACATAAACTAATAAGTATTCATTATAAAACTATGCTCACATGTACGGTTCTGTACTATTATTTGAGAAGTAAATGCTAATTTGTCAATTTCTTCATGATTTTGGTAATTTTTTTTATTTGACATGTTTTTAATAATTTTATTTCTTATATAATATAAAAAGAAATTCTCTGAAATAGATATTTTAAAGTTTTTTTCACAAAAATAGAATTCAAAAACTAAAAACACCAAAATATCATTTTTATTTTGAAAATTATAATTTTTTTTTCAAATTTGAAATCATATCCTCAAAACCCCACTCCTCAACTCCAACCCTAAACCCTAAACTCTAACTCTAAACCCTAAACACTACAAGAAAACAGGTGTCTAACGACTACAGTATTGGTTGTTAATTGGTCGTAATATGCATTTTACGACCAATTCACATCGAAAACCCATTGGTCGTTATTCGCTAGTCGTAATGCACAATTAGTCGTAAAGTAGTCGTAATATTACGTCCACAGAAAGTAGTCGTAACCTAGTCGTACTATTACGACTAAGGCATTAGTCGTAATATTGAGGTGACATATGTAGTCGTAACGTAGTCGTAAAACATTTAGTAGTTAATTCGACGTAATATTATTAGTAGTTAATGAGTCGTAATATCTGTAGTCGTAAAGCAAATGTAAATATTGGTAGTTACTTGGTCGTAATATTACGACTAATTAACTTCGACTGTTGTTGTCCATTAGTCGTAAATTAAAATCTAATTTACGACTAATGCTGATTTTATTTTTAAATAAAATCTTTTATTTGATTTTTTTATTTTATTTTATTTTATTTTATTTTTTTAATTCGTTTTTTTTAAATTAATAAAATTTTAAAATATATATAAAATTATATTTGATTAAAATAATATATAAAGTATTCATACAAAAAAACAGAAAAACTAAGGTGTTTTGTTGAGGTTCATGTCTTGGAAGAACTCGGAAGTGTGCTGCTCCGCACGTCGATCAATATCCACTTGCTCTTCCGGAGTGGGGTCGGGGTTAAAGCTCGGACGTAGAGCTTGCCATGCATTTGCAACTGTCGGGTTTAGGTTCGAGGTCTCCATCATACGATCAAACATATTCGCCATAGCTTTAAACTTGTCTTTATGCTCGTCTATGACTTTGTTGGCAGCTGCTAGTTCCCATCAGAGAGAGGAATCTTCTTCTATTCTTGCTGCATGTTCGGCCCTCGCCCTCGGGACATCGTTCACAGTCCCGATCCCAACAATACGTCCCCTTTTCTTCGGAGCAACCTACAAAAGATCAAATTTTATTTACTAATTATATTTATATAATTAAGTAAAAATGTGAAAATTTTATAAAAATTAAAAATGCTAATAAAGTTAAAAATTTAAATAATTTACCTGCTCGAAAATCTTGTCTTGGTCGATGGTTGTAAGATTGACCGGTGGAGCATCCGGATTTTGTTGCAACATCTGAGTCTGGACCTCTTCGATCCGAGCCTCTACCTCGTTGTAGATCTTCTCTGCTTGAGGATGCACAAAAGTCCCATCAGAACGCTGGTGGGTAATCTTGTATAGCCGAGCGAGATATGGTGGCGCTCCTTCTTTGGCGGCCTATATAAAAAAAAAATTAATTTTAAATTTG